CTGGCAAGTGCCAAGCCAGCCAGGCCTGAGCTCCAGCCTAAAGCGGCTTTGAGCACCATTCTGGACAGAAGAGGCTCTTCCGAGAGGGATTAAGCGTCTCTGATGACCAAGCTTTCCATAGAGGCTTCAAAGGCAGGGAATGAACCTATGCATGTCAAGACTCCTCCTAGCTGGGGTTACTTCCCTGCTATGTTGTAGGGGACTTTGTCTGAGATCCAATGCCCTGGAATAACAAAATAAGGCCTTGAGTAACTTGAGTTTCAGTAACTTGAGCACATGCTTAATTTGAAGCACATGGTTAATTCCATTTCCTGCCTGGCAAAAGCCTGTTGACACAAGCATACAACCAACTGCCTAAATCCCTTTCAGATCCTACCAGCTCTCAGTGTATGTGCTAATCCCTACTAAGACAAGGGAGCAGGAGCGGGCGCTTCATGTGGTCAGCCTGATGCTAAGCACATGCTTAAGTGCTTTGCTGAATCCAGAGCCTTGGACGTGAGGGTTGCTGCAGGGCTGCAAATGGCATCATTGTCCATCCCAAGCTTAAAGTAAAGGAAGAGTTATAAATCCAGGAGGGAACCCAGGTGGACTAAGCTCCACGGCACAGAATGTCTCCTTGCTTGAAAGTAAATAGTGAATGGATCACAACCCATTTGAGATTGTCAGTCCCAAGATTTGTGTTCTTGTGGCAATGTCAGGAACTGTTGTGATACAGGTAGAAGATTACAGGATTGGAGCATACGCAGGGAACTGGGTGCTCTTGAGACCCAAGCCAAAAAGTGAGCAAGGCTTCGCACAGAGCGTCATCAGCTGTGTCCCAGTCCAGCTCCTAGAAGACAACTCTATTTGTCCAATTCTAACAGTGACCCAAAGCAGAATGCTGGGTTCTGTAGGGTTTCGCCTTTTTGATTTTCTTTTTTAGGAGACTTTGTTACTATGAGCGGCTCTAGTGACATGGCCAGCTGGCAAGCTCCTGCCTGTGGCCAGCCCAAGGTGCATCTGGCAGCTGGCCCCTTGCTTTGGAAAGAGATGCCACAATGTCTTGGATCCCCTTGTTGCCAAAGCTGGTAGGGAAGATGGCTCTGAAGCCGCCCACAAGACCAAGGGGTCGGTGTGGGGCCTGCTCTGTGACCAGTGGCATCAGTCACACATGGTGGGGACCCATCCAGCATCTGCTGTGACGGGCTCGCTGCTGGGAGAAGAGAATTCCAGGAATGTCGCTTATCACCGATCCCTCCTCATCTTCCCTGGCGGGTTGTTTGTGCTGTAATGAACTCTAATCTACTTGCCTACAGTGTCGATGCCTGTACTTACGTTATTTCTTGAGTGACCAAATATTGTGTGAGACTCTCACCTTTGGGCTCTTGTGGTTTCAGAGTGCTTTCAACACTGGCCTACTCCCTAAGAAAATCATCACATTTTACCCAAAACAGAGGTGGCTAGGCAAGGAAAAAGGTTGGGGGAAATGAGGAAGGTGACTTGGTCTGCATTTTTTCGACGCTGGCTCTGGGAACAGGAAGAGAAGGCGGCTTTGTGGATCCCTCCTAATTAGGAAATAAATTCCCATTTCGCCACGAGCCTTGGTGTGCTGCGAGCAGCCCATTTCCTCTCACTGAGGCTCAATTGCTCCCCCAGGAACCTGGACTGGGGCCTGATCCCCAAGGGTGCTCAACACATCCATCACCCAAGAGCTGCACGGAGGCCCGGGAGATGGAGTGAGCAAAGGTAAACCTCCCCGTGCAGGGATGTGCTAGCTGCTGTGTCATGAAGATGAACTTTACTGAAAAAAAAAATCATGCCATTTGCTAACCTTGTCGTGGCAATCTTGATTTTCACTTTTTTTCTGGAGGCAGTCTGAATGCTGAATGCCAGCATCTGTTACAGACCACGAAACAAGTAAACACTGATATTCCTGGTGGCTTTGAAAGAGCATTTAACACTTAGCTTTCTCCACTTGCCTTTGCTAAGAAAATTAGTTTGGGATGTGATTCGCATGCACAGGATGATGAGTGTCTGGAAGAAAAAAATAAAATACAGAACAGTCTTTGCCACCCCCAACCTACAAGAGAGACCTGAGCCCTCCTGCCAGATGCTGACATTTTGATTTACGTGCAGGTAAACTTCTGGGTTTAGCTCAAAACAGGGGAGCAGACACTCGGGGAAAGTATTGAGCTGTTTCCTTGCAGCTCATGCAGGAGGCACCAGGTCCCAAGACGGGAAGATAACTCCTTTGAAGGCACCTGCAGATCTGCTGAGTGGGAATGCTCTTGGTGGTGGCAGCTTTGGGGTCTCTCCGTAACACCTTGCTCATCTTAAGCTAACACATAAAGCATGGCCAGCCGAATTTGACTGGCCTCTCTGCTTTTCTCTCTCTGGAGAATCAAGGAGAACCTGCCGGGTTTGCCAAGGGACTTGAGAGATCCCACAGGTACAGGATGGTCCTGTACACTGGGATGTACAGGTGCTAGGGACGCAGAATGGGACACTAAGCCAGGGGCAGAGCTGGACAGAGCCACATGAGGCAAATTAAGGGGAAAAATGTTCCCCTTGAGCTGCTGGCTGGGTTTCCTGGCCAAGGTTGGCACTGCTGCTCTTCTGCCTGTGTCCCTGTGCGCTTGGGTGCAGTGGGAGCAGAGCATCAGTTTGCAGGAGCACACGGACGCACACGTCGCACAGGGCAGGACTCCAGCGCTGGCAATCCAGTCAGGTATCCTCATGCTGGTGCCGCTGCAGCCCGAGGCCTCCAAAGCTCTCCAGGAGCTGTGGCAGGAGGACGCGACCGAAATGCAAAGCACTATAACCCGCTGAACCGGCCTCAGCGCCGCCTAAGTGCAAATTGCTGCGATAAATCATAAACATCAAAAGGCCGTAAGTGCCTAATAATGGCCTAAGTGGCTAATTTGTTTTATGTGCTACTGGAAGAAGCGCTGTAAAGATGTGGGACAAAAAGAAAGAGGCTTCGCCCGTTGTGGTTTGGCCTGTGCTGCGGAGCAAGGGGGTGGGAGCGAGCCACCCTGCACAAGATGCACCAGGCTGGTGGATGCCTCCAGCTGAGCCCGGCTTTCCCGGTCCACTCCCTGCCTGGACACAGCTCTGTGCCTTCTGCAAGGAAATGCGGCACTGTGACGGGGGAAGCAGAACTGATTTGGTCTGCAGGAGCTTCCCTCCCTCGCCCCATCAGCACTGGCATGTGCTGGCCACGGTGGGTGTCAGGACCAGAGCAAAAGAAAATCGACGCTTCACTTCAGCCGCTTAAAAACTGCTCATGGCAGCCCAGGCCTTGGATGCAGGGAGGACATGGGACACCGCGGGAGAGGCCACATGCTCAGCGTCCCTCCACATACGCTGCTGTCACAGCTGGATCAGGAGGGCACTGTTCCCAGCACAATATAGAGGGGGGGAAAGGAATTAATTCAGTAATATTTCAACATAAGTGCAAATAATTTAGAGAACAAATGGTGCTGCTTTCATGTAATGCATTGCCCTGCACAATACCCTCAAGGAAACAGCCCAGGGAATAGTCCTAATGGCTCCTTTTCAGAAATCTGCGACAAAGGGAGGGAAGTCTGCCTTTTTTCCTAAAATTGCATGCCAATAATAACCATTTTTAAAGAATTTCTTTGATGCTTGTCACTTGCATAAAACACAGTCAGTGTGCTTTACAGTTGTGAACAAAGAGTGTGGCTGACCCCACATTGCAGACGCTCAGGTGGAATCCACCAAGCAGCCTTTGACTTCTGAGCTTGCTGAGAGTGCAGAGAAAAACAAATCCAGTGCTTGCGAAAGTTTAGCAGTCAGAGAAACCAGAGCAAGCAGAAGACTATTGAGGAAGGTAGAGAGAACCTGCCCTGCTTCAAGGTAAGGCCATGCTGGTCGCTCAGGTCTGTTGGAGGCAGTGGGTGGTACGGGGGATCCAAACCCGCTGCTCGGTCCAGAGATGTGGTCACCAAGAGCAGCAAAGACCCTACAAGAAATCTCGCTTCATATGGGGACAACTAAAAAAGCCCTGCTATTGCCTACTCATCCCTTTCCTCTCTTTTCACTTCTCTTTTCTCAAATCCTGGGGATAGTGTCACATTCCCTTTTCTCTTGTTGAGCTTTTTTGGTTGTGCGTCAAGCTGTTGGTGGCTGCTACTTTGATCTCCATGGGCTTGTACTGCTGCGCCTCTTTTCCTTTACCTTTGTGTCATTTGCTGCTTTATTTATTTACTTTTCCTTTAATAAGCACCACGGAAACGTCACTGAACCTCTTCAGTCCTTTGAGCAGTCCAACGAATAAGTTGTCACCAGTATCATCTCATATCAAAGAGGCTCACCACCCTCCTACCCTGAGAGGCACACTTTTCATCCAGGGATGGTGGCAGTGCAGGGACACATCGGAATGGCTTGAACCAAAGCTGCTGCTAGGAATAGACTTTTAAGGATGGGAGTTAACTTCCTGGCTGCAGCTGATACGTGACTCTGAATTTGAACTGCTGAGCAGTGTGATTTGGCTCAGGGTTCTGCTGGATTGATGACACCTGTCTGCCCGTTTCACATGCAATTGCCTACAAACAGCTACACCTCCCAGCTGTCACAGCCTGATGTTATTTATGAGCACCTTCCCTGGCAGGTGTGACAGCCTCTTGTTGTTCCAGCAACCTCTGAGGGATCATGATGGACACGTCTAAGTGGGTCTATGCTGTGGAGTATTTCAGCTCACCAGTCTGCTTATCAGAGCCAGTCTTTGGATGACGTGAGCGCAGGCATGCATGTCTTGGCCCTCCTCTTTGCTCCGAGACAAACCTGTGTGCAACTCTGAGAGCCATTTGCTCTGGGGACTGGCCTTGGTTAGTGGTGTGGACTATGCAGGAAAATTGGTTTAGGACCAAGGGGGCACCACATTGTGCAAGAGGATCCAATGCAAGCGCTACATAGCGTGTCATGATAACTCCGAAGATGACCAGCCTTGCGCAGGGCGGAATGTGCCTGGGATGAGGCCGACAGGTGCTTGCTATCCTTGTTGGCAAAAGGCTTTGAGGACCTAATATCAAGTGTCTTCAGCTCCTGCTGCAGCTCATCAGCAGTGAAAAGGGGACATTTTTTCACGTGTATGTTGTTTACCTGAGAGCATTTCCACCGCAAGATGTTACAGAGGATTTCCAAAACAGGTAAGATAACTCAGTGGTCCTTAGGCTGCTGCAAAACCCAGTGCAACATCTGGCCAAGGAGTGCCCTACATGTGACGGGCAGCCAGCATGACCCTACCTGCCATTCACCTGTATAGCAGAGCAATAGAAGTAGAGTTCACTCTCTCATATGTCCTACATGACCTATCCAGACAAAAAAAATGCCTGTGGCATTCGGTACATACATAGAGTCCAAGGTCTCCACAGAAATGACTCCTTGGCTGTGCTTTTTTTTTGGGGGCAGGACATAGATTATTCTCCTTCTTCAGCTAATGGCTAACATCAGAATTTTCTGTGAATTGTAAGAGAATCTGTGAATTGAAAGAGAAAATGTATATAACGATGGTGGCCGAAGGTCATGCCCCTCCAGACTGTCACCTCGGCCAGCTTCATCAGCCGTACCAAGACCTTGTAACCTTGTCGTAGCTTGGTCAAGTGACCTCCAATTAAAAGCATGCTGTCCAGGAAGAGCTATTCAAGAGATGGCATCTCTCCCTGTGCATCATTTTTCTAACTAATGACTCAACACTGAGCCCAAGGGTCATTTTCTGTTAGTGCTATTTAACCTGACCACATCTGACTCTTGATGCTCTCCTTAATTGCCAGGTGTGGCCCATATCCCAGCTTTGTCAGGCTTCCCGCCAAGCTCCTGCTGAGTACATTATCCTGCTTACCTTCTAATAACAATAATTCTACTGTGGAGTTGCACTTGTCTTCAGGATTCACCCTTCCTATTGGTAAGTGCATGTTAGGCTGTGCACTGGCACAGGCTTCCCATTGCCCTTAGAGATCAAGGGGTACATATATTTTTGTGACAGATTGACAGCTCCTGCCTTCTGATGCCAGATGATTTGGGAAAGATGCCACCGGGCATCTTGGAAGAAATGGCAGAGCCTTGCTACAATGGGAAAGAAGAGTTAAAAATAGGGGAGCGGAGAAGGTAGAGGTCAAATATGTAAAGCCACTTTCATGTACTCAGGAGAAAAGTGGTAAAATGAGAGCTGTTAAAATTTTTTATAGCTGGCCTCTAACAACACTGGTGTTAAGAATCATGAGATTGTTTAATAGCAAGTGGAGGTGTACATTAGTTAATTAGAGGCATGCTAACAGTGAGCCCAATTGAGAGAGATTATTTTAGTATTTTTTTTCCAGAGGGCATATCAAGTCTATTCATGAATTAATAAACAGATTGTAAAGTCTAAGCAAGCATATTAGGGAAGTATGTGTGTATATACTGGGTGTATATACTGGGTGTATGCCTACATGTTTGTTTGTTACCATCACATTCAAAATATGTTACTTGTTTTCTGTATAGACCTCAGTAGAAGAATTAAAGCATATTGGGTTTTTCCAAGGACTCTAATTAAAGATCGTTGGAGTTGATCTGTGTTTACTGAAAAAAAAGAATGCGGTGTAAATGAGACCTAGAAGACGGGCATGCAAAATTTAACTCATGAACGCAAAGACATCGCCAATAAAATGGCTATGGTGTACATCAGAAGAAATGCAATGACACTATTCACTCAATTTATTTGATGTCCTCATTTAAGTTCTCACTGAGGAGGCATTTTAAGAACTGTTTAGGATTGGTGATAGTTAAACTTGTACCTTTAGCCTCTCTCTCAGATTCCTTAGCTCTTGTTAACAGCAGTTACACTGCAAATGGGTGTAGGATCCACAAAGAATCCCAGCTTTGTCACTAGTAGAAGAGACAGCGGATTTGGCCATAAACAGGTGTCCTAACTGTGGCATTGCAGCTGGAACAAGAAGGAAGGAAGTTAGGCTAGACAGGGACTATTCCTTTTGTAAAATGAAGCTTGCCCATAATTAGACCATGCGATAAGTAAGCAGATTTGGTCTGACAGCATGAGAAGAGCAGCAGCCATTTAAGCCTGAATAAGGCTTCACATCATTAAGCATTTTGCTAACCTATATTTTTTTTTGTCCTTATCCAATGGTTTTGATTCCTTTTTTTTAAGCCGACTCCTGCACCTGCTTTTGTTTGCAGTTCCCGCTCCCTCTTCTCCGGGAAGACAAGCTGTCCAACTGAATCCGTTAGTGAGTTCTGCCTTTCAGGAACCGTGTGGCGTTTCAAGCCTCATTAGCAGGCAGGGAGCTCCTAGGCTGGAGTCACTGCATGGCTCCGGCTCTCCTGATTTCCTCAGCTCCCCTTTCCGTATTTACATTTTAACAACAATAATAGCCAGCCCCTGCAGAGAGTGCGCCCTTAGGGAGCATCTTGCAGGACATGGTGCCCGCTGCAAAGCCAGATTCTCGCCCGTGCCTCATGATGGTTCCTCCCCAGGACAAACCCGTCCCTTTCCCATTGCCCCGTCCCATCCGGCCCGGGCTGCAGGAGCAGCAGAACAAGGACACGGAGGGCACCGTGTGTCCCTCTGGCTTGGCTTGGGGCAGCATCATGGACAAGACGAGTAATGGAGATAATGATGAACGGGGGACACAGAACTGAAAATACCTCTGTGCCCATCGACCAGGCAGTGATGGCATTTAGAAGAGAGTGATTGTTGTAATGCAGTGGCCCTCGCTGTGCTAGAATCAAGTATTTTAGCACACATAGATGAGCAAAGCCCCCTCTCAGTATTGCCTGCCTGGTGAGCGTGCCAGCAACACGGAGCTGTGCCCAGGCACGGGTGAAGTCGAGGGCCTCTGGTCACTGCTGGCGCTGGCAAGAAGCTGAAATCCAGGCCTGGAGAAATGCTCCTCTGGATGTACTCCTGGCCTCCAGCTTCATGGAGGGAGGTAGAGAACAAGCTTTGTTGCAACGTGTTGGGATTACTTGATTACTTTTTTTTTTTTTTTTTTTTTTTTTTGGAACAGGACTTCTTAACCTAGAACCTGGAACTAATTACACATGTGGTCTGATCAACCATTAATTTAGCTCTATTAACAGCTAATAATTACTTGTGTGTTTACATTGCATCACTCACATGCTTGTTTTTCTCAAATCTAGGCCTAAGAAGATTGTCAAGAGGCTATGAAGCAAAGCAGTATGAAAGATGTTAATCTTGACTGAGCTAAGCAACATCCTCAGGGAGAAGAACACATCAGAAAAAGGAAGATCATCTTTCTGCACAGCAATTGGACTCCAGTTTATTAGAAAAACACCATGGAATTCAAGAAGCCCAGATCTCCCCACCATTTCCCATTGGAGGACCGACTTGGGGGGGGGGAAACAGCCTTTATCCTTTAAAGGCAGCAGGACTGGCTGTCTGAGTACACCCACTTACACAATGTTTCTTCACCATAAAAGCTTGTAGTCCATGTATATAAATATATGTGTGTGTGTGTATATATATATGTGTGTATATATTATATATATATATGCATAGCATCACTTCCCTAAAGCCTTTTTTAAGGAGCTGTCAAGGGAATAACTTTTCAACACCATGTCTAAGCTGATTAAGCCTCCTCCTTGGTGTGCTAAGGAAGCTGCTCTGAGGGCTCCAGGACAAGAGGCTGCCTCCAGTGCTCTCCTTAGGTCTGCTATGGCCGTTGGGAGAGAGGCTGATGCTAGAGAGATGCTTCAGGTCCTCTCTTTAGGAAAGGAAGCAGTTCCTGCCTGCCTTGGATATGGGACCTCTCGTATGAAATTGGTTTTGCAAATGCACTCTGCTATGTACCATCCTGGGGTGCTCCCACAGCTGCGCTTCTGCACACAGAGCGTTGACCTGACTCTCATGTTTCTCTAAAACGCCATGCATACAGTGCTATATAAATACCTGGAATGACAAAACTGTACAAGAGAAACCTATTGCATAACTATGACTATGTGCAGAGTTTAGCCAAAAAAAGGTGGCATCGCAGCCAATCTGGCAGACTGAAATAGAAGGGAGAAAGCGAGGGCGAAAGCCCCCAGCATTGGGCTCTAAGCAGCCTTCTGGGACTTGTGCCTGCCAAAGGACAGGTGAGATTATCGTAATTATTCTGGCCAGGAATCAGGTGGAGCGTAGCCCTGTTAGCAAATCCATGCCTTAAAACTACCTACGTGATTTCGACGTGAGTCTGTTATCCACCTGCTCGTAGATTTTGGCTGGCAACTGGTTTAGCAATATATGGTTCAACGTGAATATGTGCTTCACCATTTGAACATGCTTGCAGGTACCCTCCATGCCACTTAGCTGGCTTGCTGGTGCTGCTTTAGTATGCAGGGGAGCAGGTGGATGAAGAAACCAGTGTCTAGGTTTAATGACAAAGCTGGTGACACCGTCTCAGTTAGCGCTGTGGGACAGTCTGCCTCGCTGAGATGGGCTGGTGTCTCTGTCATAGCAGGTTTACGCTGGTGCAGCTCAGCTAAATTAAACTGAATTGCTCCACTGGCTTTTCACTGACTTGAATCAATTATTATCAGCTTGAAAGAGGTGTAAAGGAGTGCAAATCAAGTCCACTCAAAGAAAAAAAAATGCACTAGATATTTCTTTAGGACATGAACTGCTCATAATCCAATGGATATTTTTTATCCTGCGTATTGATCTTCTGCTGGTGCAAATTAACTTGGAGTTAATTTCTGAATTGTCTGACCTCAAGCAGTTTTGCTATTGCAGTAGAAAAGGTCATAATTCAATTAATAAAGCCATAGTGGTTAAACTATGTGATGTATATGTTAGTCCCTTGGACCTACCTTATATGACTGGCAATGCGGGCAGCACCCAGTGTGGAAAGACCGAGGACCTGCTGGCGGAAAGGGGCACAATGTCCCCCCAGGGATACCAGAACCACTGACCCTGGCAGCATCTCCAGAACGGTGGGTGGAAAAACAGCACCGTGGTTCTCTCTCTCTCCTGCATTTTGAGAGCAAAGGGAGGGAGATGGTGACGTGGGGTGATCTCAGAGTGACAGGGGCCCCGGGGAAATGAGTACCACCCAGAGGGCTCGGAAACTGGAGCTGAGATGTGGCAGCTCCCCAGTGAGCAGAGATGTTGGAGAGGGGCCCTGTGCTGCTGCGCCGAATGCAATCGCAGCCAACCAGATTTGCAGACAGTGCTGTGAAAATAAAGACGTCTTGCAAGCCACCTCCATCTTGTAATGAGTTTCCAAATCAGCCCAATTTCCCCAGGAATTTGGGGCAAAGATGACGTTCACCTCACGCAAAAAAATCAATAAAGATGAGGTTTTTGCTAGAAATTTAAAGAGAGAAGCCTGACTCTCTTTCCAGCTGTCAGGGCTGATATTATTTTGTGTAGTAGCAGTTGTACACAGCAGCTCTTTACAATGGTAGTGGGGAAGCTGGAATGTTGTTATATCAGACTATCAAGTTGTTATGTTGGATTATACATAATGCTATCACAAATGACAGGATGCTTGCTTCCCATCAAAAATTTAAAGAGCAATAGACCTCTTTTCAGCTGTCATTGCTGATAACATTTTATGCACAAGTTTATTCAAGCTCAAATAGAGATGCAGCCTGTCAATAAAGAAGCCCGAGCAGATTAGGTATCGAGTATATTAAAGCTAACGGGACTAATGTGAATGCACAGCTTAATCTGACATTTTAAAGCAGTGACAAAGCCCTCCAAGTTCTCACTGAGCAGCTCACCAAGGCGCGATCTCTGCTGGAGTTTATGGAGTGTAAAGCAGCCTCTGCATGTGAGGAACGAAACGAATTGAGAACCGGGCGGCTGATGTGGCCGTGCTCCCCGGCAAGCCGAGCAGGGGCTTCCTTTCTACCTGCTCTTATCTTCTTGGCTCTTCTCCTCCAGGAAAGTGGGCAGGGCAAAAACAATGGCCCTCGGTTAAAGCAGAGGTGGCACAGATTACACATTAGGAAAAGCTCTTGATACCTGAGAGCTCTGGGCATGTGGAATCTTTACTCCGCCTTTAAAAAAGAGCACAAATATTTGCTGTATCATTGAGCCCCTTGCCAGCAGTGCCTTATGCTGCAATCTGGAAGTCCAGTGAAGGGCCACACGTCTCATACCTGTTGCTGTTGCTTGTGCTGCCACTAGACGATGCTTCCCAATCACTTGGGCTTGGGAATTGAGTCCAAAGAGAAGCCCCCAATATGCCCAGTCTCTGTGTTTTCCAATAATAACCATCAACATGAAGGAACTTGGTGTTTGGTTTCTGAAATGATTCTCCCCATGTATCTCAATGGTTATGCTGAGTCTATATTCCAGGGAAAAAATACTTTGAAAAATAATGACAATGTCTCACAGAAAATAATGAGTTCCTTCCAGTTAGCTGCTGAATTGTTTACTGCCATAGCTGAATAATAACAGCACATCAAAGATGTTTGCTGTAATTAAAAGATTTGTGAACATAGGTTAACAAATTAGTGCATCATAATGTGTAATTGTCTAATTAGGACAAAAATGCTAGTTCCACCTAAAAGACTGACAAGAAAAGATTACAAGAGAGAAAAATAAGATAGACAACAGCATTGATACCACTGAACATTGGCAAAGATGTTATCTGTGACTTTATATTGTATCAATAAGTCCCCAAGGTACTAGTATTTTTGAGGATTATTATCCTGACAAATTAATTCTGTTGTACGTACAAGGCTTGCAGAGGACTCCCCTGAAAAAGATATCTAAATTTGTCATTAAATTTTTAAATCTTTTTTCTTTGCTTTGGAGGCCAGAAGCCCCGAACGCAGCAGGCAGTGCTGCTGCATAGCCAGGAACCAGGTGTAGCACCAAGAGAAGCGCTACAGCCCCAGCTTCATGGGCGGGAAACTGAGGCGGAATGGGAGAAATCCTGATGTTGGATCACAGCTGTAGGCAAAAAGAGTTTAGTGGACTGAGAATCTCAGTCTGAGAAGGGCACCGAGGGTGCATTTCCTACACCAAGGGGAAGCTGGCAGAGAGAGTTTGGCTCGGGGTCAGATGCCAGATGAAATTCCAATGGCTCAAGGGAGTTCATGGCATAAATGTTGAACCCTTTGGAAAAGCCAGCTCTCCTACTGGCGCTGTTGGTGCTGTTGGATACCAAACTACCCTAAGGATCCGACATAATGTGAGCTGAACTTCTGGCAGTTAGCTCTCCATGAAGGAGTTTGCTATTTGAGAACAAAATCCTGAGCTCCTCTGGCCTTCTCTGCCCACCCCTCAATACTCCTTGCTGATGGTCAGGTAGAACTTGTGGTAGAGCCAGATGCTCCTCTTCAGTGAGGTCACCTAAATGACTGAAAGGGTCCCTGCACCATCCTTGGGGCTGAGTGAAGAGCTTCCAAGACTAGCATGGCCTGGGAGGATGTTCACACACAAGGACCAGAGCTTAATCCTCCAGCAGGCTTCTCAGCCTAGGCAGAGACACACAGGACTCCAAACCACAGAGCATGAAAGGAAATGTGAGCTTTAACCCGAGAGCAAACTCTTTCAAATGACTTGATAAAATGCTCGAGAAGCCAAAGGAAACTTGAGTGGCAGCTGCCCACAGTGGACTGTAGGAGCAACTTGAATAATACTGACAGGAAAAGAAGAAATGCACACTGTCAGAAGAGCAAGCAGCTATTCCTGCTGTTATTTTCCAAGCCTTTCTCTCCTCCAGGCTCTTTAAGGCTACCTTAGCATCCTGCTGCTGGTTGAGGTTAAAAAGCCCCACCTGTGAGCAGAGAAAAAGCTGGAAAACATGGTCTCCCTAAAGGGTCCTGCTGCTGTAAGCGTCTGTCTAAGCTGCAAAGTGCCTTTGTGGGTGGCTGCTTCAAGGTAAGCTTGTGTTTAAGCTAGTAATGTTTAGGAAATATATCTGGTAACAACCAAAATGTGATATTTACCTCTATTTTAATCTATGTGTATGTAGAATATGCTTTGTTATACTTTGGGAGGGGAAAAATACGTTTCTAAAGAGCTAATAAGATGCTTTCCTTGAAATTATTGCAAATTAGAAAGCCCACCTTTCTAAGAAAGCAAGGCTGCTCCTGTGTATTTTCTTTCTCCGAAGGAAAGCCTAAAAGAGACAAGGAGTGAGGAATATACAGATTTTCTTAGAAGCCATGCAGCTTTGTGCTGCCTAAATAATTTTTTTGTTGTTGTTGTTTTCTCTTGATTTGGGAAAAAATGAACCAGTGATTAACAATTCTAATTCTAAATAGACCACATTCATAGGATATGATTCTGTAGGAAAGGAGGAAAAAAATAGCAGTTGAACTTTGCAAAATGGTTTTGGGCAATAACTGAAACCACAGCAATCAACACAA